ATATACAGGCTAGGTATATAGATGGGTTTTGGATTAGCATGAATAATATCGRTTGTTAATACTTACTCTGAGTACTAACTGGAAGAAGCTATAAGCCTGAATACAATTTTGATGAAGTTTGTTCACAGGACTTCTAATAAACTGCAGGTTTGTTAATGTTTCAAGTGTTTATTGTTTAGAAAATGCTTATGTAAATCATTTGACACAAGGCAATTAAGTTTTCTATTGGTTAGATTTTTATGTCACTTCCTGTATTTTGAAACGCGGAAATTAAGACCCTGATTTTATAATGGTCTATAGTGAAGAGTGTTGGCACGTTTGACCGTGGTGATTTTGTCTTGTTTTGTCCCTCAGAGAAAAGGAATCAAGGGAAACCATCCCGTTTTCATATCATCATCATGCACAGTGAAAAAAAATTTGATATGAACAGCTGCCAATCAGTTTGTTCAAGTTAATTCTCCTTATGCAAATACAGTCTTTATAATTARCGCATTTTAATTAAAAGTAGTCATCACCGACTCCGTAAGCGTGATTAATAGTCAGTTCCCCTATGCGTTTCGAACCGCGTATTCATGAAAGAGACAGCCAGGTTGTGGGCTACAATGCTAGAATTTCTTTAAGCTAGTACAGTTTAGATTGTTTGGAAACTCGTGAATCAATGACCGAGCTGTCTGAATACACGCGAAAAGAGTACTCAGCATATGASTAGGTCAGCAAACGCGGATCTCGAACGTTAATTTAGTATGGATATTATAAGATCTGAGCTAGTTACAGCTCAATTGGGATGCTTTTTATTGGCTTGCCTAATTACTGTTTTCTTGTATCTTGTATATTTTTTATGCCAGTTTCTCTCGTGTACAGTGGGGTAGGGTAACCAAGGTAAYGTAATTACAGTTAAAGAACTCGGTTTTTAATTCCATTTTGTTAAAGTCACCCATTCTTATATACAATCATAGCAATTTAGACAAGTTTTCTTGCGATTCCGATTAAAACTTGTAACTATCTATCTATACTCTCCTCTCATTGTTACCTCTCGGTTTTGGCGGATTCGGCCATCTTCCGAGTGTGTRCAAAAATGCGGATTGGAGGAAGAGGTGGATATAGGCAATATTTCTTGCGGATCGAAACAATTTATCTTGTTGGATTTGCAAAATCCAGTTTCCCTTTGTCACCCTTTATTATTTTACCATTATCGTGCATATATATTCTCTAGTCTGACATTATTTTTGTATATGGACTGCCCCTACGGTACAAACAACCTACAATCGTTGACAGAATCCTTGGTCCATTCCAGCGAATTTTCGCATTTTAGGAAACCCCCGCAAACATGTAATTTAATCCACCCTGACCCCCTAAATGCAATGTTGTCATTCATCATGTTACCATAGTACACAAGCATCCAAAACAAGACCCAACATTGATGAAAGGGAGTTAAGAGGGAGAACTGTGAAAAAATAAAGGAGAAAATGTTAGGCTGGAGACAAATAATTCTACGCTCCAAGGTATTTTGGCAACGATTGTATTTAAAATCAAATATAAGTGGAGTGATGATCAAGTCGTCATTTCGGTCAAATCCATGTTGTKACTTTGTAAAAATTGTCACCCAGCAATGTGTTGTCCTTCTCGTTCGTCGTACCACCGTTGACTTGTTGGACCGTATCTGGCATTGATGTTTTATTTGTTTCGGGTAGTAACAAACACAGTATTCCACAAACTACAGCAGMCACTGCCATAAAACTGAATGGCATTAGAGGATGCACACGCTCCTGTAGAAAAAAAATCAACTAATTTTYATTTTTTTTTATTTAATTTTAATTATACATTATTGGTACACTTGACTTTTTGTTTTGAATCCACTCATCAGTTTCATCCCGTTTTGAGTGCTTTGTTTTATCATTGGAGAGTTGAATGCATCCGTTGATATTAAATAAAGGACAAAATCCGGACATTTCTTTATTTTTTCGTGCCCAAGACATTCGCATTAAAAGGTTAGAAAATTTCACACAAGTTTACCAGAAAGACATTTACAGTATGACGTCATCTTTCTGCAATTACATACATAAGTAAAAGTACTCTGTGTATTTTTATGTAATATATACAATATAGCTTACAACATGAGCGGCCTTATTGTATATWGCTTATAATTTAGATGGATTAATGAAATGAAGTCTTACGGAGTATACGATGTAAGGTGCCATAGCTGATCCAATTCTTGCTGCGGACGTTGATGTACCCATAGCTGTATTTCTAGACATTGTCAAATTGATAAACTGTGTTATTATCTGTATACCATTTCARCATACGGCCGCCATATTGAATTTGAAGAAATTGTGGGATGTCCAGTGAGCAACAGCACAATTAATACTTCGTTGTTAATTTAGCGCTRCAAAATTTGARTTGTTATGAACAAATCATGCTGTATTTTCGAAATTTTTCAAACTTCATAATTATATAACATTGMATTTGATGGCATTCTATTGTKTMGTGTCCCCAGGTATCSCATAATGTCTTGCCKWATCGAAAATGKTATTCAAGTGACATGAGTATTGGTACACCCTTCTCTTTGACTAGATACAATTCATTGTTTCTGGTTACGGATRCTACGACAGTAAGGTATCATGGGAAGGCAAAATAAAAATACCTGACCACCGTAGGAAACAGCTCCGAMGAATAAATGTASACGCCGTCAAACACAATAGTAATAAATGTCTTTCCAAGGACCATAGACGAAATGACTTTTCCAGCAGTGTAGCCTATGGTAACAAAATTTACAAGAAATAAAATATAGCTATTCTATCACTGAAAATTTCAAGTTATGTGTTCTGGGTTTGTATAATACATTTCGTCACAAAATTCTAGGACTTGTCAATCYTATTTAACAGCGCAGAAATTCGATTTTTTTCACGGGCTACTTTTTCAGGCGGTGACTTTCAGGGTCAGCGGAGCCGTGCATCCCCCCGGCCACAAAATATTTTGGMGGAGCAGGGTCCTCCCCACWTAACATCATGTGATCGTTTCTTACCATCACTTCCATCGTCAAAAAATTTAAGTAAAGCTCCAATAACCATGACCACGCCAGCTAACCATACATTGACAACAATGGTCTTTTTTCTTCCAAATCTGAAAATTGAGAATATCAATCTCGTGAAAAGTGACAGCGCCGCTGTAAGACAAGTCGCTTTTGTTGTAAGAAGTCATGCAGGTGTGAGAACAAGGTTYGCCATCTCCTCTTGTGAGATTTAAAACATACAGCATTACTAGACTTCGGAACAACTGAAGCTTCACTATAAGTGAGCATAGCAATAGATCTTTGCATTGAGCATGCTAAAAATTTGACAAAGAGTCTAGTTCTTTTTAATATAACCCTGTATAGAGCACTGTGGGTTAGTGAAATATCTCGAACATATCTACGATTGTACATACCTATCTAGCAAATAGATTCCTATTGCCATCGCTATGCCTTCGCATAAGCCGCTAATGAAAAAATTCAGGTACATGTTTCCACCAACGGATGGAGTGCTTAGAGAAATGCCATAGTATACTAAGCCAGAAACACCCCTACAAAACGCAAWTAWTATATATAACATGTARAGTTTAGTTTWGTCAGTGATACAAACTTACCAACAATACCACGAAATCAAAGTTCTATAGCCTATTGCTCTCGATGCAAAAAGATCTTTTATGTTCCCAAGTTTTTGTTTTTCGTCCCTCTCCATGTTTGTTTTCTCAATCAAGGTGACATTTTCCTCGGAAAAGGGTTTTTTGTTAACTCGAGCAACGTCCCGCAATGTTTTGATGGCTTGCTCGGTTCTTCCTTTAACTAGCAACCATCTTAAAGACTCGGGAGACAGCCTAGAAATGAATCTCAGTGTAAATCCTTACAATTGTATTTGTTTCAGGCTAGTTAGTACAAATGTACAGACATTAAACTATAGTATAGAYACATTTTATTAAAAATTGACATAGTACTCCTGGAAATTAATGTGGGGCACGGAGGACAAATTWTGAAATAATTCTACATCGTTGTACCTGTGTTGAAAACTAAACAAAATTATTCTTACCACTGTACTTACCACCAAMAAATGAAAATCAGCACACCTGGGGCACTGGTGATGATGCTTAGCGTTCTCCAATCTGGAATAAGATATCCTAGAAGAGCTAACAACATCAAAGCAAAAATCCAGAAATACCAGAACCCAAAGCCAACTCTGCTGCGATACTTCGGTCCAGTGTACTCCATCACCAAGACAAAGCCACATATACTATAGGCACCTAATGTACGAGTCAGTGTAACGTTAGTTTGGGAAAAGTGAGACAAGGCCCAGAGGCGGATCCAAATAGTCTAAAGAGGAGAGCACCACAGCCTTGTCATTTATCTGGTGTCTTGTAAAGGGCAATTTCAAAGAATTGATAACAATTGGTTTTTCAAAGGAGGGCACCGGCACCCCCAGGCCCCTCCCCTAGATCCGACCTTAAGCCACATGTTTGCTATTTAAGAAAATAGCGTCATCTGTTTAGAGGAAACAAGGGTCCCAATCAATGGACCTGTCAATCAAAGGACCTATCAGTCAATTGATKAATCAGTTAGACAAGTCAATGTATTCAACTTATTAATCCAATCTAATCATACTTCCAGGCAGTTTTATTGAGAAATACTCTTTCAATTTTCTCAGTAATCAATGTCGCGGTTTTACCATGATTCGATCCACTTGGCTCAGATATTGTATCCAGTGTACTTAAAAACTCACCTATGCCCATTCCAGCTAGAGCCCTAAACACAGCAAACACCCAATACGACTGCGCAAATGAAGATATGAAGCCACAAAGACAGGCAAAGAATGCAGATGGATAAACCACTGTTTTTCTCCCAAATTTGTCACTCAAGATGCTTGCTATCATTGARCCCACGATCCATAGGATAAAGACAGTTGAGTTGGCAATGCTTACGTATACAGCTGTGTCGCATACTAAATCCCACTACGGAAAGAAAATTAGAGATATGTTTTCTCAGTTTAGAGGGTAATAGTTGACCCCAAACTCATTAACTTTGTAAATTTTGTATAAACTTGTGCCATTGATTTGCTAGACTGGGTAGCTAGGAAAAAGTGGGAACAGAGGCCAGTGGATAGCTGTTTTCATACATATAGAATGATATTTCAAGGTCATAGATTTTACCTCGGTGACAATAGAATTAAAGTCTCCTACTGCAAATTCCCAGTCACTACGTTGTAGCTTACACCGAAGGTCGAAGTTTTCGTCCCCAAGTTTGAACGTACCGTTAAGAGTACATGATGTTGAATTAAGAGTGCACTTCCATGGTGGCTCGGCTGTRCTGAATGTCATTACCATTAGTACCGCAGAACAAAACGTAACCAAATACCCGACTATAAAGCACAGCCTTACTTGGTACAAACCAAATGCACCTACCGACTCGAGGACCTTTTCCGTACCACCCAACGAAGACATCGTAACGTTTCCTACAGTGCCGTAGAACAGTATTTTATTGATGGAACAGCCGGAAAGATTGGTAAAATTATAATGTCATCAACTTTATAAAACACTCACTAACTGATGAAAAATTCATTATTATGATTATTATTATTACTATTATGACCTATTTTGTTCAAATATGATAATAAAGACTGTTCTTCTAAATAACTGTTCTTGTACGAATTGTTCCTGGGAAAGTGATTTTGAGCTACATTGTTGAAAATATCACAAGCAAATTTAATGTGGCGCCCTTCCTTTTAATTGCCGCCGATTTCAAACCGTGTGGGGACTGGACGAAATCCCCTAATTGGGTAATCATGGCATAAGACTTACATAGAAAGAAAGCCCACGTTGAGAAATGCAAAATTTCAAAATCTGGTGTCAATCAGTTCAATAGTGAACGAGTTACGGCATTTCAAATATTCTAAAATTTCCAAAGAAATGTATGGGAAGCCGTGAATGTGTCCGGATTTTGACCATTTTCCGGACACATTCACGGCTTTCCATACATTTCTTTGGAAATATTAGAATATTTGAAAGGCCGTAACTCGCTCACTATTGGACTGATTTACATCAAATTTTGGAATTTTGCATTTCTCAATAAGGGTTTTCTTTCTATGTAAGTCTTATGTCATGACAGAGTTAGTAGAGGAGACAGATAGAGTCTCCTCTACTAACTCTGGTCATGATTACCAAATTAGGGGATTTTGCCCAGTCCCACACGGTTTGAAATCCGGCAATGAACAAATGATTTTGTTCCTGGCAAACGTTTTTAAGGTCAAAATAGGCTTAATTTTTTTTAGTTAGTAAATTTCTATTTTCATGGCAAAAATTCTTACTGAGAAAGTAGTCCTTGTTGGAGAGTTTTTCCTGAATTTTTCGCTGGCAACCAGTTGTGACTTACATATGGCTGGGACATAAAAGCGGATATATTCCCCCCCCCCCCCTTCCCCCACCCCAGGAACCCGTCGTCTCCTCCTAATAACAACGTCATAAAACGGCTCATTAACTGAAAAAATGTCTTATTATGACTATGATTATGGCCTTATTGATCATCAAATGAGTTATGATTTTCGTGGATAAAAAGCTCTATTTATATTTATCATCATGACGTTTTGTTTTTGGGTTCCAGGCAACGCTTGAGAGCTTTTGAAAGGCATCTATACACATATCCGAACATTTTCATTAAGGTAAATCGAATCTTTTTATGTGCGTTTATTAAAAGACAATTGTGTTTTCAAAAATAATCTTAAATAATCTTGGTCATTATTTTTGTTCGTAGTTTCGTGTATAAAACGATAAGCCTAATTAAACACTTGAACAAATATGCGGTTTCGTAAATATCGGTACTCGTCAGTATGCGCCAAGACCGAAAGGGATCATTGGAAACCAGAAGCCATTGATGGGCTCCTGTTAGAAAGATATTATGAGTAAAACTGTGTGATTGTGTGCTCTAGAATAATAAAATGATCTTCTCTACGAGAAATGCTATATTGTGACTTGTATGTTTAGGTAAATGTGATTTGAAGTTCCGTTCGGTGTCAGATTCGACAATATCACCTAATTGGCAACTCCACAATATT